CGAAATCTTTTGTGGATTTCCACCAAAAACATCAATGACAGTGGCCCTATTTAACATCCCACTAAATCAGTTTTGTTAAGACTAGAATGAGCACAGTGGGGCTCAGCTCACATGTTCTCCAGCATGGCTATGAAGTATTTGTTGATCACAGTTTAGTGTCTGTCCTGAATTCTATTATGTGGTTAAATAAAATTAAAAGCAAAAGTTTCAAATTCCTCTTCATGACTTGGCGAGGGGAAAAAGTGAAATGTCAGTCCATGGATCACTATAGATTGATCCCAATACTCCTTTGTTTTAGCAGAACATATGATCCCAATACTTTCTGAAGATGGAAAATTATCATTCTAATCCAATCACGTTAGAATTTCAAAAATCTAGCTCATTTTTCATTTGTACCCAGATGCAGAATTGAGAGCTTGGTCCATGATAGAACTTTTACATAATAATTCCACCTCTTCTTAATTCTATCAACAGTGAAGTGACAGAGAATCACCACAAATTGGGATAGGAAATAATGTTATGGAAAAGGCTGTATGAATTGTTACAGAAAAGTAATATCAACAACCACAACAACTTCATATTGTTCCCTTTTTTACTTTTGGTTTATGATTCTTATTACTATGACTTAAGTGCAATCCAAGCTTTGGGATCAGAGCCAGAAAAACTTAATGTACACCATGTCATCTCAACCTCAACCTGTAATAACAGGGCAAAAATCAGAGGAAACCAGTGGCTGTTTACTTCTGCTGAATTTTTAAAAACAGCCATTCATATTCATTCATCAAGAAAATGGAAGTAGAAGCAAATATTATGGTCATGTTCATTTGTTTTTTGATTACAAAATATATGTAAATTAAGAACAGCCATCAAGCTCTGGAGCTGTGCCAGAACAGTTATTAGTGTCATAAAATTGAAGGAAGGTGATAACAGGGCATTGTGTGCCTGCAAGAAAAAGTCAAGCAGCTGCCATCAAGCCCATCTGGAACAGGAAGCCATGCCCATGTCAGAGGGTCAGGTGGAAGATAGGTCCTGGCTACAATAACCTGGCTCCTTCTTTTCCTTTAATGGAGCACAGAGAAATCTGTTCACTCCATAGTCAAAAGTGTGATAATTATAGAGTAACAATCTCCACTGTCATTCCGGAGGCAGCATCCCCAGGAAATCTTGCTCTGCAATCAAGGAAAGAAGTGCAATCAGGCCCCTATTCAGGCTTTGTTTAGAAACAACCCCTGTGGGAGGAAGGAGGCTTTGAGATGTTGCTTTGTGAAGCGGGTAGTAAGATTGGCTGTATGGTACTGTTACTACCAGAAGAGCTCAATGCAAGTTCTTAGCAAAATTTTCATTCAGCCCCACCTGAAAAACCCAGGGAAGCCATAGGAAGGCTGTATGTTTGATGTATCTCCTCAAATTGTTTTAAGTAGAAATCTCTCTTCTGAACATAGCAAAGGATATCAGTGTCATTTTCCATGCTTCATGCCACGCGTAACTTCAGAAGTGCAGGATTGGTCTCCATCAGGGCAAACTAACTGGTGCTCTTCCAATGTTCTGAATTACAACTTCCACACTAGTTACTTGCTGGATTTGAAATGTAAGATAACTAGAAGACACCAGTTCTTCATCTCCTAGTCTAGACATTGGTTGGAAAATTGTAGTTCTTGAACGATGTATACACATGACATGAAACACTTATTAATTTAACAATCAACATTACTAGCTCTCTCACTGTCACGGCGCATCTAAGAAAATGCCCTGATGTTATATGACATAATATGTTTGTCACAATTAAACAAGAGTGAGACCTCATTCCAACAGCGCCTAGGTGAATAGCAGTAGGGCTCCGGAAGTACTCTTGCTCCTGTGCTTTTTTAAAATCTGGCATGTGTGACCATCCTGAAAACTTGAATCCCTGCTGGCATCAGACTGATCTTAGAAAATTAGAAAGTTATTCAGATGTTGGTAGAAAATAGGTAGGAGAGATACAAGGAATTTTTCTATTACAACTCTTTGCTCTATAAATTCTTGGAGCATCTCCAGAGGAAACTGAGAATTGAAGAGTTTGTGTTTTGATGTCAGTTGTGGGGCTGGCCTTACTTTTATCCTGAATGAGTCAGCTGCCTCAGGCAGCAGATTTTGGATATCATAAAAAGATAGCAGTGTTAATTATTTATTTTGTTATTATTTCATTACTACTGCCAGAAATGGTAGTTGGTGGATTTTCCCTCTCGTTTGCCAGAATGATTTTGCCAACTCTGAGTAATCTATGTACCTTGGGTAGGTGATTTCATTTACTACTGTGCTTTAGGCAGCACTCTGTCTTGGGCCAATCCTGTGTCGGCTGCATACTCAGCCAGTAGAAGTTTTTGTGTGTGCGTTGAAAACAAAATGAACAAGTCTTCTTGGATTTTGTTTGAATGCCCATGATAATTGGATCACGTGAGCACATTTACAACACAGATTTAAAAGGTTTAATATTTCCTCTCCTCAGGGAATGGTAATTTAAGAGAAAAAATGGGAATTCTCAACTGGAATTCCAGCATTTTCACCAACTTCCAGAATTCTTTAGCAAAGCTAAGACAGTTAATTAGAAGCTTTTAATTTTCCAAGAGTTCTTGGAGTGGATCTTTTCATTAGTATTGGTAGTAGCATAACACACACACAATTTTTCCTTTTGTTTGTTTGCTGCCACAATAAGTCCAATTCTTTTGTCAGCTACAGCATCATTTTAATCCTTCACAACATCATGGGGTTATTGTTGGAGGAAACAATATTTAGAGAAAAAATTGAAAAAGGTTTTAAAAGAGAAGCTGAGCAAAAAGGGGGAAAGCACTTATTGGGTGATAAATCTTTACTTCCAGTTGCAGGACTAAGATTTGCATTAGTTAACAGTAAATAGTACCTTCTAACAGTAGTTAACTGTTAACATTAGTTAACAGTAAATACTACCTTCTAATGCTTAATTTTGGACCATCTACTTAAAAAAATAGTTTTTGAAAACAATATCTAGGTTTAAGTTTTAAATCTGCAGGTTCACATGGTTTCAAAACCTGGCATAGCTGTTAAGTCATCTGAACCTCACAATGACCCATTGCCAATCTGTTCTTCAATTTATCATTGCATTATAGATGACAATAAAAATCAGATCCCCACTTGTCATCTAGATATCCTCCAGTATTCCTAACAATTATTCATTTGTCTATATGAACAGGTGATAACAGCACCAAAGGACCGGCAATGCTTGCTGTCGTTTGCATTTCTGTGCAGTAGTGGAAGTGATAGTAGCAGGGAGGGAGTTAGAAATTAGTAAATCCAGGAAAACTCTTCCAAAGAGCTTTCCAGGTTTGCATGGTGCATAATATCAAGTGCTGTGGGAAAGCTGTTTCCAAAATCCATGCATCTGTGTTGTTTCTTGTAGAATTTTACCAAGTATTTCTATAAAAGATTTCATTATGCACTTTATGCATAATGGAACTGCATCTGGCCTTAATGAATCTGTGATACTGTAAATGGAATGTGTAACTTTAATATTGGTGGGGCTGGCTAAGTATTTATTTATTTATCTTTTCCTTGTCCACAGAATAAATGAGCTTCTTGTAGTTTTGCCATCCAGAGACAGAGGTATCAATCAATAGTCAAGTAACGGCTTGAATTCAGTTGAGAGAATTTTTTTTAAAAAAAACAAAAAACTATGCACTGCATTTAGCTATTAAAACAGGAACTATTGATTGAGTCCTATCAACTCCCAGCTAAAACCAGTGACCAGCTGCAAATCAACACAGAAATCCAAGAAATAAGAAATGGTGTGAAAATATTTAATACGTCAAGGAGGATAATAAGTGTCAAGGATGGTTAGAAATTAAAGACATTCCTGCTTCTGAAAACAGGATATTTCTTGGCACACCAAAATCTAAAACAAAAGAGTGATTCAAGAGAAGACATGAGAAATAGAAGATGTTGCTAAAATTATCTGAATTAATTCATTTCTAATTGAGTTGAAGTACAACCACCATAATTCCCAGTTCTGTCTCAGAACTGTTTATGCTGTTGTCCAATAAATCTAGATCGATCAAGCTGGGGAAATCTACAAAAGGAATTCAGAATCATCTTGCAATACACTCATTTATTGGTAGAACTCAAACTTGATTTGGTTTCTCCCACTGATACCTTCTGTAGCATTTATTTTGGGTAGAATGGAGGTGAATTCTTTTTCTTGTTCTTGAGCAACCTGCAGCAAAGCCAATGTGAGGATATATCCATGATTCATAACTGGATTAGACTTCTGAAGGACTTAACTTTCCCTGGAAATTACATAGGAGAAAACTTGGGGAGTTAAGTGAAAAGAAAGGAAATATTTTAATCATACAATGAAATAGTTGAATACTGAAAGCAAACAAGAGCAAATTACACTGCAAATTAAATTTATGTTTTCAATGTTTGTTTTATACATTTACAAAGATTCTCATGCAGTCCAAGACAATATAGTCATTCTTCCATCTTCAACCTGGCTTGAACAGTTAAAAACAACTCAAAAATGTTACTCAAAAACACTATGATCTAAATGATCTTATGAATGAATGAATACACAGCATACTTACTCTTTTTTGTTTCTCAGTCATGTGAGGCATTCAAAGAGTCTCTGGCCTTTGCTTTAACCACTATAACTTATTTTAGACAGAGGAAGATGTTAAGATAAGTTACTTATTTCTTTAATTAACACTTTGCCTCATTTTTCATTTTCAGTAAAGACGATGACCAATTTTCCCAGGATGATATGTCTATAAAGCAATCTTTGACCAAACCAGTGAATACAGGAAATGTTTAATGACCAAGCTAATGGCAAACATTTCAGAACCACAATTTATGAACTGGCATGCTAAACTAGCATCACATATTCTTCTTTTTATTTCAAAGATGATTAAGCATTTTGAAGCTCCTAAAATGAGGAGACAAATATGGCCAGTCAGACGTTTTTGTACAAAAAATCCTTCAGGAAGAAGTCTTACCTTCAGAACAGAGTTTCCCAACGTATCCAGTGGCTGAGCAATCACACTGTGGTTCACCATCCAGAAGAAAGCAAGTTCCACCATTTTCACAAGGATTCTCTGTACACAACCCTTCCATGTCCAGGCGGACTCCTCGGTGTCCCAGAAGCTGAGGTTCTGAATTGCCGTATTTCAGGTCCATGATAAATCCTTTAAATGGTGGCTCACCCAGGACACTCTCAAGGGTTAAGGCTGCAGGACGGATATCTGATGGGACACCTCCCAAAAAGAGGTCACTAACAATATTCATATACTGACGTTGTGGACGCACCTCACCAGGTTTGGCTTCACCATCAAGAACCAGAACTGTCCGGAGATGGTTGCGACTAACCATCAAAAAATGTAAATTGCTGTCATTGACCTGCTTTTCTGTAACAATTGTAGCCTCAGCACAGTCTACACTGAACTGCAGCTGAATGCGTCCATCCATCAGGGATAAACAGAGAAAGTCGCAGACACCACCATCATCAAAGTAGAGAAGGAGCCCAGCTGAGATGTTTGTCTTCAGTTGGAAGCTTAGGTCACTTCTTGTGCTTGCATCCCAGCGGAGATAACGAGCCCACTGATTTGGAAGGCCCATAAACTCAAGGCCAAGACAGAGGCTGAGAAAGGATCCCAACAATAAGGTCACCTTCAAGGTGAAAGAGGCAGAGTGGAGTGAAAAGTCCATTTTTGATAGTAGTGCTTATTTTCTCCTTTGGGAAAACAAAAAATATTAAAGCCACCTACACGAGAGTGAATGGCTCTTTAACAGTCACTGAAGCCAGTAAATTCCACAAGAGAGAAAACTCTAAATTGGAGAGGTAAGATCTTACCTGTCCCTAAGAATACAGAGACCTTTATCTGAGAAGGAAAGAAAATATTGTGAAGATTTTCCAGGGGAAGCAATTTTGTAAGGGTTGGATTTCCACTTATGGTATGACCTTAGATACTTCCAGTGAAAAGTAGAAGCAGTAGACAGCCTTCAAACTACAGCTTCTTAAAAGTGGTGATGGCACCAAAACATGGATAGCAGCAACCTCATCCAGTCAGAGACTCCATGGATAGAAATGTTGAAGTCTATCTGCATTGTGTCCAGAAGATGACCCTGTCCCCAATTCCTCACTTGTTGGCAATTGGATCCTAAAAAAAAAAAAATGGGAGAAAGATAAATTAGCTTTACTTGTCACCAATTTATTCATCTCAACATCCAAACATTTTAGAGGGTTGACTAGAACACATATATTTATCCAACTGCTGTTAATGTATATTTCTTGTTCCACAGAAATAGTCAATGTGGTCATAAAGCTGTGTAATTTATCTATTAAAAATGTAATTGTAACTAACAAAAACATATTGCAACCAATACAAAACAAAAAGAAAGGACGAAAACCTTATCACAGCAAACCTAAGGTATGTTACAAATTAGGCTGGGAGTCATAGACAGGTCTGGATTCATACGTTGGACTAAATAATGCTCTTTTAACCAATGATCTATTGGCTGAGTTTGCACAATACAAGAAGCCATGCACTATGTTTAAAACTTTCACTGGTAGATTAAAGGAACATATCATGCCAATACTAAATCACAATATGGTTTACTTACATTGCAGCACTGGTCAAAAGGGCCCAGCAGATATTATACTACCCGAGACTTCTCAGGAAACAACAACTGAATGAAAAATTGCTGGTGACCTTCTACCGCTGCACTATAGAAAGTATTTTAACTTACAGCACCTGTGTATGGTTTGCTAATTGCACAGTGGCAGATAGGACAGCACTCCAGAGGGTTAATATCATTACCCAGAGGATCATTGGTTACCTTCTCCCCTCCTTGGAAGAGCTTTATAGCTCCCGCTGCCTTAACAAATTTCAAAACATTCTTAAAGATCCATCTCTTCCTGGGCACCCTTTTTTTTGAACTATTACCATCTGGCAGATGGTATAGGACAGTAAAAATAAGGATAAGTAGGCTGCAAAACAGCTTCTATCCCAGGGCAGTAACTATATTGAACTCTACTGTATAGTGTAATATTAATGCAGTATCAGCGGTTTTCAATTCAATTGTACAGAACGTGAAGGATGTGTGTTTTTGTTTTATTTTTATGTATGATGTACACTGAAGATGGCATTTAATTTTGTTGTACAAGGTGCAATGACAATAAAGTAAACTACAATGTATAAGTAATGTGTACAAGTAGACTTCCTGTATTCAAAGACGATCAAGTCGCTCCCATAGAGAGGGACTCCTCAGGGTGCCGTCGGCCAAACAATGTCGACTGACGGCCCCCAGGGGGAGAGCCTTTTCTGTGGGGGCACCTACCATCTGGAACGGACTTCCCCTGGAGTTACGAAACATCCAAGACTTACGCATATTCCGCCGTGCCCTGAAAACATTTCTATTCCAACAAGCTGGTCTGGCCTAACTCTCCCTTTTTAATTGGCTTTTAAACTGGCTTTTAAATTGGGTTTTAAACCTCTTTAGATAAATTTGGATGTTTTTAAATCTTTGAGCCTAAATTACTTAATCTGTTTCTTAATAGTTTTTAACTTCTATATGTATTTGTATTTATTATGGCTGTTCACCGCCCTGAGTCCTTCGGGAGTAGGGCGGTATACAAATATGAAAAATAAATAAATAAATAAATAAGTGTTATGATTCTCATCTCAACAGCTACAAGTTAATTAGATGAATCTTCCAAAATGATATTGACAGCAAGGCTTCTAGTGCTGATCTGAATTCCCAGGTGGATGTATGGGAAAAAGTTATATTTAAGGTAACCTAATCTGAAGTTATACAAGGCTTTAAAAACTTTGACAAGACCTTTGAACTTTGCCTAGAAGCAGAAAGAAAGACAGTGGAACTGATATAACATGAACATTATGTATTTTCTCTGTTGTGGTTTTCTCCATATGTTTTTATAGTCTAGTGCCCACAACTCCCAGCAATATAGCTAGGAATTCTGGAAGCTGAAAGCGAAACACATCTGGAAGCACCAGAATTAGAAAGGGTACTCTCAGTTGTGAGCTCTAAACACAAATATAGTTACCATATTTAGGGACACATGAAGCATTCTGATCAAACTGTCTTCTCAAAGACAGATCTGCTGAAGCTACATTCATATACTGTATTACACATAATAGGTTCAGTTTGTTTCCAAGTCAGTGTGTTGTACGAGTCCATCCATTGTGTTTGTATAATTTGTAGCTCATTATATACTGTGGATCCAGCCAAATACAAAGCCTCTGCCATCTTTTCAAGGCATTGTGAAAAGTAAATACTATCCAAGTAAACTCTCAACTATTTAACTGAACTGTTAATGCATAACATTGAACACAATGTTATGCAAAAAAAATAAGTTAGAAGCTGCATGCAACTCTTCCACTGTACCTGTACTCAAATATACAACTTCTATGCCAATTCAAATCACTAATTCAATATTTATTGGAGCAAAATGAGAGGGAGGGAGGGAGGGAGGGAGGGATGGGGAGGACACAGGATGGCACGATTAGGCTAAGAATGGACTGATCCTGATCTTGTAAAGATACACCATTATTTAAGAAGCTATTATCCTATACATAATAAATGCTGAAAGGAAGATAATTCATAATAATGAATATATAGGATTCATTTAATTCTTTGTAAAAAATTGAATTTTTTGCATACAATTAAAAACAAATATAACATGGAATAAATGCAAATATAAAATATTATTTGATATCTGATATATAATCAGAAAAAGTAAAACTAACAAGGTAAAGCAAATTGCAGTTTATATATGTATTATATATTATATATACACTTCTGACTGAAAATAAACTACTGATTTATAAACATTAATAAGGCTTTATTAATGTACATGCTTTTATGGGAAAGGCACTTTGCTGCATGTTTATCAACCTCTTGGGCATATCCAAGGAATGTACTCTAAGTAACAAGATGAAACAAAGATTGTTTTACCTTTTCCTGTATCGAGTTTCATTTAGATTTTCTGTGTATGAGGTTTTTTTTACAGAACTACAACTCCAGCAACATTCACTATAACAACGCCACTCATTTGGTATCCCAGTTTATCCCATGAAATATAAAATATTGCTTGTGTCCAACCACTTCTTGTTACAAGCACTAATGTTAATGTAAAGAACATGATTCTTGAAAACAGTTCAATCAGATCTAAGGGGGAAAAACAAATTTTTATATACTAAGGCAGGGGTGTCAAACTCAGCATCATTGAGGGCCACATCATTGACCTCGGGGGAGCAGGGTGGACATGGCCAGCTCAACGTCACTTTTGTCGGGAGCGCCTGTGGTGACCTAAGCACTCTTTTTTATTTTTTATTTTATTTATTTTTAAATTTGATTTATATGCCGTCCTTCTCCGGAGACTCAGGGCGGCTTACAATGCGTTAAGCAATAGCCTTCATACTTTTGTATATTTATACAAAGTCAACTTATTGCCCCCACAAACTGGGTCTTCATTTCACCTACCTTAGAAAGGATGGAAGGCTGAGTCAACCTTGAGCCTTGGAGAGATTTGAACCAACAGTAATTGCAGGCAGGGTGTTAATGTTAATAACAGGGTGCTTAGACCACTGTACTATCAAGGCTCTCTGCCAGAGAAAACAGACTCCTGAGCTCTGTTTTTGGCTGCAATGGCCTCCTACAACACTGCCAGCAAAAATGGAGTTCGGGAGGACTGCACGCGGCCTCCCGAGCTCCATTTTCACTGGCAGGAGCACTGTAGACTTGTCCTTGGCTGTTTCCAAAGCAGCCAGAACTAAGCACCCTGTGGACCGGATCCAGCCCACAGGCCTTGACTTTGACGCTCCTGTACTAAGACATCATGATCTGAGATACTCCCTTTTCTATTTTCAACATCAATCCATAGTGCACAAGTTGAAGAAGCTCCTGTGTGTAAGTTATATATGAGGGAAAATACAACAATAAACCTCAGGCTCTCCCCTCCTTCCATATCCCACGCAAAAGTTCCTGAGGGAGGCTATCTATAAATAAATGAAAAGAAAAAGGGCCATTCATTTATAGAGAGATGATAGAGGGATTATACAGCCCATACTAAAGATTATTAGCACAATAAGGGAAGACAGATCACCCTGAGGCAAGTATGTTCTTCACACAATGGCCTTGTCATTATTTGAACATAGCCATGACATAAAGAGGTCCTGGAAGCATCCTTTTCACATGATGTTGTTTGCATTAGTGACACAGGCTCAAGGAAGTCCTTAACTAGATCAATGTTAACAGTGTTCCCCCTTTATTCTGATGTCATCCAAGGGGAGCCACAAGTTGAATAAAATTGATTAGGCTTTGTCTCTAATTATTTATTTGCTTTTTCAGGACTTATAGGCAGTCCAATAGAAAAGAAGCCTGGCAGACTGGCAAAGATAGGGAATAGAGGCAACAGAGGAAGGAAAGGGAGGGACGGACAATGGTAACAGTAAACTTCATTTCAGAACAGATTTTTGTAGGTTCAAGGTTGGGCGGAGAATACTTCAATTTGGCAGAGGAAAAAGGGTCTTAGCTTAATATTAAGGACAGATTACTTAACGAAGGATTTTTATCATCTGAAACTGATTTGTCAGTTTTCTGTAAAGATACACAAAGGATTATAGACAATGAAGAAAGTTTGATATATAAGATGGCTATTCTACTCTGTGTATAAGAGCAAACTGGACTGGAGGATGAATTTTATTTCAACCTTAAGTAGAAAACATTGGGTTATAAACATGAGCTAAAACAGAAATTTTATAAGGCAAACGGATCACTGTACATTCAGATGTACCACATTCCTTCTCTTTTAATGAATACCATTATACAAAACAAAACAAAGAGCTAGGAAAGCACTCTTTTTCTAACCAAAAGCAATATATCATGTGAGCATTCACTGACTAACAAAAAACAATCACTGGACCTTGTTAGTTTAAATGTTTAAAAACAAAAATGCAATCAAGTCAAAAACAAAAGGAGAGTAATTCATTTTAATTGTTAACAATGAGTTTGTCAGGGTTCCAAGTAAGACCTCCAACCAAAGAAGACTCCGAGGCTTGAAGTTCCTCAAAGTTCCATTTTATTAGAGATGTCATATTGGCACATCTGGGAAAACCCGAATCTGAAAGCTTCCAGG